CTTTGGAGTCTATTTTAAATTCCCTTTTTTCATCCCTAGACCTGGTTATTGGTGTCTGCTCCTTCCTATCTTTTGTTAGGTTTAACAACAGTTTGTCAATTCTGGTAATCCTTTCAAAGAAACAGCTTTTTACAGAGTTGATTTTCTCCAATATCTATGTTTTCCCACTCATTTATCTCCTCCTGATTTTATAATTTCTTTTCTTTTGCTATTAGAAGAATTATTCTGTTGACTCTGTTCCAACTGCTGAAGGTTTTGTGAGAGGATATCCACCATAAGTCTCTCTTCCTTCTTCATAAGCACATTTATCGCTATGAAGCATCCTCTGATAATTGCCTTTGCAGTATCCCATAGATTTTGGTATGTTGTGCTCTCGTTCTCATTGGTTTCTAGAAACATCCTGATTTATTTTCTAATTTGGGCCAATACCCACTCATTTTGAAGAAGTTATTCATCCTCCAAATATTTGCCCTTATTTCCATTTCTTTTGTTGATTTCCAGCTTTACGGTGTAGTGGTCAGAGAATGAAATCTGAGTGAATATCTTTGAATTTTCTCAAACGTGTGGCCCAGCATGTGCTCTATTTTTTAAAATGTGCCATGCGAATTGTTTTGCGGTTGGGTGGAGAGCTCTGAATATGTCTATCAGGTTGAGGTGTCTAATTGAAGAGTTTAATTCGGTAACCTCCTTGTTAAGCTTCTTTCCCGCTGAAGTATTCTTCTCAGAGAGCGGTGTCTCTTTCTATGATTCTTGATCCTGCAATCTCATTTTTCATCTTGTGAAGGATTTGATTGACTATTTTGTGGGTCTCTTGTTGGGTGCGTATATGCTTATTATGCCCACTGGCTCTTGGTCTACTGATCTCTTAAGTATTATATAATGCCTAAATTTATCACTTGCTATGTCCTACACTTTGAAATCAATTTGGTCACAATTGCAACTCCTGCTATTTTCAAATTGCCATTAGCTTGATATCCCTTCCTCCAACCTTTGATCCTCAACTTGTTTTTGTCCTTGACCTTGATATGTGTCTCTTACAGACAACAGATTGCTGGGTTTTATTTCCTAACCCACTCTGCTGGCCTTTGTCTTTTAATGAATTCAGACCATTGACGTTCAGAATTATTACATCCATCTGTGGATTCTTTGCTGTAATCTCGTACCTTTTGTGATAGACATTTTCCTCCCTCCCTCCTTAGCAGTGTGAGCAGTGTGTTATGGATGTGGGGGGATTCATTCTTGGATTCTTTTTGTTATGTCAAAGACATCTTGAACATTCCTTTCAGTGTTATGACTTCTGGATAATATTACACTAGTGGTGGGCTCATGTTTGTGCTGTGGATATTGGTCTTCTGACCAAAGTGTGTTGGAAAGTAATATGTGTAGTACTTTTTTTGCTGTTTGTTTTCATTTTACTATGTATTTTCTAAATTTTTCCTGATCTGGGAAAACTCTTACCGCTCCATCTGTTTTGATGGAGAGTGTAGTAGAACAGAGGATTTTTGGGTTACCGTTATTCTCCCTCAACTTTGAAAGATTCTAGTTTATTCTCTCTTCTTCCTGGTTTCTGATAATTCTGTGTATATTCTTACCGAATTACCCTTACAGCTGACTGCATAATTTTTTTCTAGCTACTCTTTTTCTCCTTTTCCTCAAAGTTGGGTAATTTGACTACTATATGCCTTGGTGTGTTCTTCTTGGTATTTAGTCTAATTGGTGTCCTCTCTGATTCCTGGATGATTGTGATTCCCTTGTCCTGATTCCCTTGCTATCTTGGCTGTTGCTTTTTCATGTCTTGCTCTGGTAACTCAATTATTCAAATATTGTGTCTTTTCATAGCATCACTCATTGTTCTCTGGTGTTCTTCAGCTTCTTTTATTATCTTGTCTTTCATGTTTGTTGAATTCTACTTGGTTATGTTTTTCGCTGATACAATTCTCTACCTTTTCCAGCATGTTGGTAAGATCTTTTGACATTTGTTTTGCTTATGCTGCATTTTCCCTTAACTCTGTATTTCCCTTTGGTAAGCTGACTGGATCTTATTTTTTCTCCCTTTTGTGTATTGATCCCCTCATATCTTGTATGACTCTAAGCACCATACTGAAGATTTCTTTCTGTGGTGGTTTAAAGTCTGCTTCTTCTATGTATGTTGCTAAGTTCAGGGCCTCCTAAGACATTGTGCTTTCTTTCTCTTGCTTTCTTCTGGTGGCTGCTGATATGGATTGTTGTCTGGGTGATGTTTTGGTGAAGCTCGGTGCTATTTTCCTGGGAGTCTAGGAGCTCTGTGATTTCATTCTCAGGGGCTAGTAAGAACAAGTCTATGAACTACCTGTAGCCATCTGCCCTGTGGGTTTGAGCTGCGTCTCTATTTCACTTGGGTTGACTCTCTACCTTGACAGCTGGAGCTATCTATTTGGAGTGTGATGTGGTTGGCGACCTTAGGTAGGGTGGGCAAGGTGATTGCAGACAGCAAGGGTGGTGCTGGGCAGGCCAATCACAAACAGCATGGCTGGCACTCACAGCCCATTGTGAGGTAGAAAACCACTGTACAGACCAGTAGCAGGCTCCAATTGCTAGCAATAGTACCAGGTCTGTTGGGAGCAGCGAGGGTGGCACTGAACGGGCCGATCATATGCAGGAGAACTGAACACAGGTTATGGGGGATACATGTTTAGTTGGTAAGTTGATGGAAAATAGGTATTGTCAAGGTGTAAGAAGCAGGTTCTAAATGTTAGGATGGTTGGAGTGCATGTTAAATCTACCAGGGTCCCTTATTGACCCTTTAAATGGTTAAAATGAGGGTTCAGACCTTTAATTATTTGTTTATAACAGAAAGCCCCTGTATAGTAGTTTACTACACAACTAAGTTCTCCTTATGTACAATCCCAAGGTAGATTATAGGCTATCATTGTGGGACCCCTGTGAGACAGGCTCTGTTCAGAAGGTAGACCGGGAAGAGTCAGTGGGGCCCAGTGTTCACTGGCTACCATCCCATCCTGGGCTGGGAATGTTGCCGAGTAATCCTGACATGATGAGTCCCAATTCCGGTGGTGGAGAATGGGACCCTGTGTTTTCTTCCTCAGAATCTAATGCGAATAGGTCTAGCAACTATCTGGCACTAGCTATACTACAGGTTCGAGTTGTGTCTCTGTCTCCCTGTGGGCCGGCTCTCGGCCCTAGAAAGCTGCAATTTCACTTGGTGAGTTTAAATGAGGTTGTGTGTTGTTGAAGTGAATGGAACAGGTTTCAGAGGTTATTGTGGTTGAGGTAAAGAAGTCGTATAGTGAATCCACCAGCATCCCTTGTCAACCCTGTGTATATGTAGGGGTAGTGTTGGTAGAACGATGCTTTACCGCCTTGTGGTCTTATAGGGATTCAGAGTAGGTGAGATTCAGGCAGGGGGGATGATTTGGTGTCTGGTATGACTGAGAGAGTTGTATTCTTGTGATTGAGTTGATTATCTTGAGAGAATGTACTTCTGGTGAATTAGGTCAGTGGGTATAGGAATGGTGGAGGTGGCCAAACGGGGGTGTGGAGATGGGGTCGACTCATTTCACCTTCCTAAGTAGTCTAGGGTGGTGGAGTATAGCAATGTCTTACTCAGCGGGCCAGTGTCTTATGTAGGAGGCTTGTTTTGCTGACTTACTATTGTGTGGTCTTTCAAGTCTTTAAAAGACACTTTGTCAAGCCCCAAATTGGTAAAACCTGTTTGGGGCTGAGGCTGAAGACTTTAGCACTTTGTGGCTTGTCCTGTTTTGTTATGTTAAAGCTTTGGTAATGAACCAGTTGTATGGTGGCTTAAAGTTACAAAAACCAACACAGCCTCAGAAAAAAAATGTTTTAATAGAGTCTAGTACAGTGTCCTGGTATCAGGGATGTGCCGTGTTGTCCCCCAGGAAAGGGGGATTAGATTGTCCAATTGGGTTTGGGACTCACTGGGTCCAAGTTACCCAATTGCCCTCCTACTCCCAGCTCACTCCTGCGTGGCTCAGTAGGCTGTGCTTCAGAGATCTGCCATCTGCCAGGGGCTCTCTGATTGCAGCAAATTAGTGTCTAATTATCTATGTTACCCACACTGGCAGGCTACCGTGTAGAGCTGGGGAGCAGTGGAAAAGGGGTGGTTGATGTTGTTGCTCTGTTACAGGGTGGAGAGGGGAGGTACAAACCCTGTGAATGTGTAAGCAGAAAGGGGAGCAGAGAGGGAAGCACCAAAATGAGCTATTGTGGCTAGTTTTCAGAGGCTCTCCATGGGCCTGGTCATATGAATACCCTTAGACAGAAGTCTGAGGGAAATTACTGCACATCATCAGGTCTTAAATCTTGAGCCCAGGAAGGGGTAGCAGACGGCATCCCACTGGATCTGCCAAGGGATGTGAAAATCCTGCGGCAGATGCAGTGAACTTAGAGCATCACAGGAGTTCTTGAATCACTTGTGGGCAAAAATCACAAGGGGAGGTCTGACCCACAAACCCTAGTACCCTGGGATTCTATGCAGCTGGCCTCCCCTTATTGGCCTCCTTATCTCTTAATTTTCTGATCTCACAATGGTAGCACTAGGCAGGTGATTCTACCTGGACACCATCTTGTAATCACTTCCCCCCATCTATTTTTTTTAACAGATCCCATGTGACTTCAATAAGCATCCACATTCAGGAATCTCCCAAAATTAGTGATATGAGCCCACAAATTGAAACTTATACCTTATATCGAGGAATGATAACAACAACAAATCCAGAGCACACATATCAAAGTGAAACTGAAAACCTTGAGAACAGAGAGAAAAGCATTTAAAAGCTCCTGGAGTAAAAAGACAAATTCTCCACAACGGGCAGAAAATTACACCAATAGCAGGCTTTTAGAATACCAGTCAAATCTTTGAACTGCTGAAGAAAAATTAAAGCAAAACTATGATCTTAGATTTCCATGCTGTCTCAATCATTCTTCAAGCAGAAAACAGACTTTTTCAGACACAAATCAAAATGCCATTATTCACAAGACCATCACAGGAATAAATGTCTTACAAAGAAGACATTTTATTTAGAAGAAAAGTGAACCCCAAGCAGTCTAGAAGCAGGTTATGATATTAACCAAGTCTGCGCTCGACCTAGAAAATACAAGACGTGTGAAATACAGAGATACCGCTGAGATGCTTCCATGACCTTCAGCATTCCAATGGAGGCAAAACTGCACAATACAAAAGAAATAAAGAACTGACTCATCTAAGTACAATGACTTTGTTTTTGTAGAATTGCCAGTTGTCAGTGTCCCCATTAACTTTAATGAAAGCACAGAAACACTGCTATACATACAGTGTTAATATTTTCCATCACTCTGTTTCACTGTAAGAAAAAATCTTTTTGATATATTTATCAGAATTCAAAACATTTTTTTGGCATGTTTCTCTAGCATTTTCTTATTTCTATATAAAACTTAAGAATGCCACTGATGATCCTTTTATCTCCAATACCATACTTTGCTTCTTTTCATCATTTCTTAGGAAGTTCAACCACACATTAATTTGATTAATCCACAATACTAAATTGTAAGACAAGACAAAGAGGAAAATTACTCTTAAACAAGATGGTAATTCTATATTTAATAAATCTTGACTTTAACAGCAATTTTCACAATATCTACATCATAGTCCTTTTAACTTATTAAAGATTTTACAGTGTTTACAAAGTTGATTCTAAAAATATACCTTATATGTTCTAAATGAGTAATATTATCTGGGAAATAATAAATTATAGTAGTTTACTTACACCACTATAGTTAAGACTGTGAACATATTTATTCAATATGAAATTCTTTCAGGATTTCCACAATTTCAGTCCTAATATATAAAAGTAAAACCAAGTGTGGCACACAAGGTTTTAATCTTAGAGCAATGTTTTTAAAACTCAAAATCAGAAATATCTACTTGACATCTATAAATGCATGAGTACACACACACTCACACACACATACATTCCCCTCTCCTTCACGCCAACACACACACATACACGCACATCAAAGTATTCAGAAAAATTTAGTGTCACATATCATATACTTGTCATCAACTTTACAAGTCAAAATTGGAGGGAAGAAAGTGGGCTAAAAATAAGTTTAAAAAATACTTATATGTCTCTAGTCATTGGCAATATATGCATATAACTGATCAAGATGTTTCACAAGCACAGAATACCAGCCAATGCATTCTTAAAGAACTATTCACTAACAGGCATAGAAATACCTATTGTGGACCCATCCATTCCCTGTCCCCCAGAATATATGTAATCTAGGCATTTGCAAATCTAGACGTTCCACTGACAATAAATCATAAGACCCCAACCCAACTACAGGGATTGCTTCCACACAATAGCAGACCCACCAGAATTAGTAGCTTTATGTTGATCTGTTTGGGATTTCTTATATACTTCAGGTATAAAAGCAGTAGGATACTGAATCCCAAATTATAGCTAATAACACTTCATACTTTGTGGCACTGCAGAAGTCCTTTTGTATTTCCAAAACATGTATGTATTCTTGATAAATTTTATTATTCATTACTTTGGAATAATCTCTATATGCTTTTTCCACACAATATTGGTAACCTCCCCTGGTCATCAACTATTTCCAATAAAATCTGCCTAAACAAAACAGTATTCTTTGGATTCCCTTCAGTAATACATGCTCGCAAACAGTGTATGGCAGTCCATTTTCATCAACTGATAAAACATCCAAAGCACTCCCTAACATTAAAACAAAAACTAAACGCACATTAGGGATGAATAACATTCTGCCATGATTAGAAAAATGAAAAAGTATAACAATAAGTGAAGAAAATAGACCAACTTTACACTTGGTTTTTCTTGTCTTTCCTCATTCCCACACTTATAAATTATTGAGAGCATTCTTATAGTCTCCATGGCAATAACAGAATATTTTGGCACATCAACAGTGAGATATGATGAATGGTATTTTAAAAAATTTTAAACTTTTATCTATTAATCAGCATCTTTTTTAATGTCGTACATATATATTTATTTTACAGTTATTTAATTCAAAAACATAAAGGTTTATAACTGATTTACAAATGAAGCAATCACAGATTGCAGTAATACATATATTACTGGGCTATTACTGGTATAGATGTAGATACCAATAGAGGGGAAAACTGCATCATGGCAACTTTACAGTTCAAAGTTTGAAGGTCTGTGTATCATTTACATGGTCTGTTCATCTTGTTTTCTGTACAAAAGATACATTTTTGCCTTCTTCATTCCTGATGAGATTTTTCTGCGATGACTTTGCATTCATACTGCAAAAATTGGAAAGATAACAGATTAGGATTTCTTTTGAAAAGCAATTTCCAAATAAATGTAAAGCTATCAAAATAATACTTTGTTCATACATGCCTAAAGAACCTGAGAGTTCTGCGATATGCTGATTAAATAGCAAATGTGATAGGGAAAATGAAGCATTCACTTTCTAAAGTGAAAGATGCACAGTCAAAAGTAGGAGAAAGGCAAGGTTTCCACATGACCTGCAAATGACATTACTATGATTTACAGCGATGCTACAACAAGGAGAGAAAGGAAGCAAAACAGCTTTCCTTGAGTCCTCGAGAGGTGAATCAGAAAAGGAAATGTCTAGGACTTAAAGACAGGGCTCGCGTAGTAAATTCAGATCATATTTTTAAAACCACCTCTAAAATATACATTTAAAAATTATTAGTAAAAGATTGTAACCAAGTTTATCTTAAAAAATACAGTTATATTTTTAAATGTAGCTATAAAAATGTATGGAAATGTATCTCCACAGTTTAAAATAAAGGAGATGAATTGGTTTAAGAAAACTGGATAACTGTCAAAAAGACAGTCACTGCTCAATTCCTTCAGCAAGTTAAAAGGGCGGTGGTGGTTGCGACATCGTGTCAGGTCAATTCACCACTCACGGCAACCCCAGAAACAACTGCATCCGACTGCTGTGATCTACAGGGTTTATATTATCTGATGTTGAGAACATCGCCAAACCTTTCTTCCTAGTTTGTCTTAGTCTGTAAGCTCTACTGAAACCTGGTCTGCATCATAGCAATGCACAAGCCTTCAGTGATGGGTGATACATTGGCTAGAATCATTGGCTAGTCTCCTACATGGAAGGTGAGAATTCTGTCACTGAACCACAATATCTCATGGCTACAATGGTAAGATGCTTACTGAGAAAACTTCTATGGCCTAATCTTGATCTTTGCTACCCATGACTTGGGTAACACTTTCCTTCATAATTAAGGTGACCAATCGTCTTGATTAGTTGGAGATAATTCCAATTCAAATCTATTTAAGCAGCCCAGAAGCCATGGCAACATAGTGGGCATGCGTTGGGCTGCTAACTGTGAGGTTAGCAGTTCGAAACCACCAGCCATTCCAAGGGAGAAAGAGGACGCTTGCTACTTCCATAAAGGCTCAGAAACCCACAGGGGCAGTTCTACCCTGCCTTATAGGGTGGCCATGAATGAGAATGAATTCAATGACAGTGAATTTGGTTGTTTGGTTTTTTTTTTGGGGGGGGGGGTGGTAGCAACATAATTATTAGACGTGTCATTTTTCACTTTTGATACTGTCCCCTTTGGGGGGAATAGGAACAAAAATTCTAGTACCCCAGTTTTAATGACAGATCATATCATTATATTTTTGTTCTTCTAATTAGTGGCTCATTCAACTTTTGATACACTTGTGATTAAATTATGTCAATGAAATTACAAAAGAGAAATCAAGAGTGGTGTCTTCACACATTGTTGTCCCTTAAAGAAGTAAGGCATTTAAAGAAAACCTATCATTCAACCCAATTATAGAAAACTGATTAAATAAATATCGTTTACCAGTGCCAGTTGTCGACCAATGTTTCCCATCGTTATGCCTCCGGCGAAAAAAATACAGGGTAGCCAAGAACGCACATAGAGGAAGTCTGGAGAGGTATATCTAGAATCACAGAAAGATGTTTAACAACCCAGAAAGGAAGTGCAATGACCTGTACTAAAACGATTACAATGAGAACACATTACTTTGGATTAGATGAACTCAATAGGCTTCAAAACCTGGATTCTGAATTCAGTTATCATTTCTTTAGCAAACAAGTACCAAAGAGAGTAATACTTACTGATAAACACCATTATAGACTAGCAGTTGAGTGACCAGGGTCGCCAAGAAAGCAATTCCTACTCCAAGACCAAAACCACTCCTAGATCTATCGAATGTCCACCACAGTCCAATGGATAGGGCAGCCAGTGTGAGAGATAACTGTATATTGTTGTCAAAATCCACTTTCTAATATCAGTGTTAAAGAACCATCATGAAACTTAGTCAAATCATATCAACTTGTCATTTTTCTAAAATAAGTGATGCATCTGTTGAAAATTAATGGCTTATTCCAGAATACATTCAATCATTTAATACAATGTACCAGATTAGGTGGGATTAAAAGTGTCTTCCATATTTACTAAAGATAAACAGAGAGCAAGCTACTTCATTAATAGATCTGAAAGACTTGTAGTTTCTCCAAAAACCTACAGACTATATACAATTCTAATCATAAGATCAGGCCCGTTATTTTAAGAAATGCTTTCTTTGCTAAAAATGTAGCTAGAAGCCTCAGAACACAATTATTGCTAAAGGAACACACTTTTGCTTAAAGAAGAAACCAATATGATTCTCAAACAGTTTAGAATTATTAGAGAATCATCCAGGTACTTGAAAATAGAAAAGCTGACAGCTATTCAACAGCATAGCACGTTCTCTATATGATTTACTGACAGACACATTTTATAATAATGCAGTTCAGAAACAAGAGTGCCAAGGACACAGCATCCCTTTCTATTATGTCAACTGCTCCAGTTTTAATTTGTTGAGGATAAAGCCTTGAAGTGAACATTATCTTGCAACCTGCCAAGCTATTTTGGTGCCTGAGACTTTCTGGTATAGGGCAGTTTGCTCAAATTGTATGGCTGTCACCCACTTAAGTGCTAATTCACAAATGTATGGCTCTTTTCTACTCCAAATCTCAAGGTAAAATAAACTTTACAAATTCAATTTTCTCCTTTTATTGCTAGACAATTATACTAAAGGAATTAATTCCAAGTGTCATTACAAGAGCATTATCTACGTACCAAAGACCACATCTTGGCTTGCAGTTATAGCCAATTCCCTAGCAGCTCCTTGGGATCTCGTCAAACTAGCCATTCTACAACCTCCGAGAGGGAGCCGAAGTCCCCCACAAATTCATATAAAACTACTCCTCAGTTCCTTAAACACGCTAGTATATACACTACCAAACCCCAACCCCTACTACACCAGTCAGAATTCTCGACACCGACATGCTTATAATTCAGCATCTGTCAGGGATGGATCGGGGGTCACGTCCTCCAGGGCATTCCTTATTAAGGTTTAAGTTATCAGAAACACTACAGGTGTGAATTTATGAGTATGCTTTATAGAAACGCTTTTCACATTTTTTCCAGCCAGCATTTGATTTTAAATGCCAAAGAAAAGATGATGAACTTCAATTTTCCCTATTCAACAAAAATTCTTGTGAAGAGTAAAATTTATATTATCTAGGCTTCTTCTTTGCTAATTTAACTTCTAAGGGTCAGAGGACAATAAGCAGGCTTCCAAGGGAAACGGGTAAAATGCATTAATCTTAAAAGTAACACTATGTAATTTTTGAAAATCTAATATTAAAACTAATATTAAAAGCAGATGTCATACATGTTGCTAAGCTTTGGGACTCTGCTAGAGGACAAGACAGATAATATGGATATGGATAAGCATATCATATAATATTGATATGGATACGCATATCATACAATATTGATATGGATACGCATACTATACAATATTGATATGG